TGAATTAATTTGTAAAATTTACACTCCAATAGGTCCAACACCCGGTCCACCACCACCATGAGGAATAGCAAAAGTTTTATGCAAATTCAAGTGAGAAACATCGCTACCATAGTCACCGGGACGACATAAGCCCACCTCAACACAAACACCGCTTTTTTCGTCGACAGCAGAAATGCAGAAGAAATTTTTCAATGCTATAGAATGTATAACACGTATCACTAGCTTACCTGTGCATTCAGATTTGCTCCATCTAAATAGATTTGTCCACCACTTTCATGAATTTTTGCACACACATCAGCAATCACCGATTCAAAAACACCGTGTGTCGACGGATACGTTACCATGCATGCTGCTAGTTCATTTTTGTATTTTTCTGCCTATAAAAGTTATACTGAAGGAGATACGACATTTATGGGTCAGTGTTTGAACAAAAATAAAATTTCTGCTTTTCTCAAAGTGGTTGTTGTAAAAAATTAATCTATTACTTAAACTACTTTAACTAGACACTCTTCTTTTAACTTTAAACACTTACTCTTCTTTTTTTTCTTTAAATTTTTTTATTTCTTGTTCTAACTGAGGCTCTCTTAAGTTGCAAACCGTATTACACAGAAACTGTTGCTTTCGATCAGAAAAACTTATTGAAATTTTTATGAAATTTTGAAACGACAGCTAATTTTTAAACATCAAAAATAAAGAGTACTTTGGCAGACAAGTCTTTATAGCTGATATTTCCGTGTCTATCCGCTTCAATGGGAATAACCTTCATGTTAGCCATATGTGCGCTAGCTGGATTTGTTCCATGTGCAGACGTAGGAATCAAACAAATCTTAAAGTTGGAAAACCTAATACTAAGCTAAAGGTTTAATGACATAAAAATGCTAAAGTTTTTTGGCATTACACTTACATTCCGTTGACCTTGTCCTTGCGCTTTGTGATAATTACGAATTGTCAACAGACCAGCATATTCACCGTTTGCACCGCTAAAATTTACTCATAATTCTAAGCTTTAAGTGCTCTTCCAAACTCATCATGATAACTACTGGTGTAAAATAAGTAAAAATGTAGTTGAATCTTTTGGATATAGTGAAACTTATCCACAGTAAATATCAGCAATACCTGTTTGGTTGCAAACAAACTTTATCATAGCCAGTAATTTCACATAACCATTCCTCTAAATCATGAAACATTTTCATGTATCCCTCTGCCTGATCTTGAGGAACAAATGGATGTAGCGCAGCAAATTCTGGCCAAGTAATAGGCTATAAAAATTTACAATTAATCAATTACGTTAAACAACGTTTACAGGAACTGTGTCTTCATTACTTTGAAAGAATGAATTATTTGATAAGACTAATTTAATTTTTTGCGAAAACCTAACAATAAGTTCAGCGCTAGCATTCATCTTCATTGTACAGGATCCGAGCGGTATCATCGAATGAACCAACGATACATCTTTGTTCTCCAAACGTTTCATGTAACGTACAAGTTCCGTTTCGCTGTGATAGTTGTTAAAAACCGGGTGTGTAAGAAATTCACTGCTACGCGTATGAGGAGAGTTCCCGATCAGAGGACCAGTAGATTCAGCAATACCAACTTCACATTCATCCTAATTTAAACAGTCACTAAACGGGTTGAATTACTTTCGTAAAAACAACAACTTCCAATAAAATAAGGCTTTTATCTTGTTAGCAGATAGCTAGAACAAAAAGTGGCTATCGCAGTAATAGTATTCAGAAGCAACTTACTGGCGTCGCTTCAATACCAAATGCATTCAGAAGAGCAGCAACATTTTCTGGACCAGTTGTCTCGTCCATCGCAATTCCAACACATTTATCATCGTAGTATCTTAAATTCATGTGCTGCTCTCCACACTTTCGCTTAACTTCTTCCAAGTTTTTCGGGCGTATTTTAAGAGTGTCAAAAAATTCCGTATGTAAAACTTCGTTCTCAGTTCCGCGCAGTCCTGCAGTTTATAATTTTTAAGACTGCATATGCAAAGTATACTTTTTTGTACTAACACTACAACGTTTTCCTTCACAGTTGACTATATTTAGTCTCAAAACCAATTTTCAGTTATGTTGTTAAATTAACTATTTTAAAATCTGTTTTCGGCTTTAAAATAGTTTCGTCATCAAAGCAGTTTAAAATGAAGAATGGAAAACAGAACTGTATGCGAAATATGCAGTAGCCTTATGGACGTTGCGAGCAATCGTTGTAAGCCTTTTAGGCCCATGATACACCGCATACATTGCAGCCATATTAGCCAACAGTGCTTGTGCCGTACAGATATTTGATGTCGCTTTATCACGTCTAATATGTTGTTCACGAGTTTGTAAAGCAAGCCGATAAGCAATTTCGCCGTTAGAGCCCCTCAAAGTAAACTATTTTAGCCTTATCTAAAAATTCTCGCTCTTGACAGAAAATAGAATTGAAATTCTTTAATGCAGCCACACTTCTAAAAAAACAGAAATTACTGGATGAAGAAAGTAACAGATTTCAAAGATTAAAGAACCTACTTACTAACACCAACTATACGTCCAGGCATTGCACGTGCAAGAGAATTCTTATGGTCAATCTTTCTGACTGCCATAAAACCAGCATGTGGTCCACCATATCCCAGCGGTACACCAAATCGTTGCGCGCTGCCAACAGCAACATCTGCTTCCAGATCGCCAGGAGAACGAATTAATGTAAGCGATAGCAGATCACAGACCAAGATAACAAGACTCTTAAATACAGAATAAATTTTAGACTAAATTTTTACAATTTATAAATGTTCTTCTACAGATCTTCTCATCTAAAAAAAAGTTCAGTAATAGAGTACTTTATTTTCATGCGTCATACGTATCAGTTCCGTTAGGTCAATAACAGCACCTTCAGTATTAGGATACTGAACGATGATAGCGGAAACGCTATAATCAAGTTTGGGATTGTTAATGTCTAGTTCCGCGAGCTGGATATTCAGTGGTCTAAAATAATTATTAATTGAAAAATCTGAGGACAACAAGCGTATTTTAAGAAATATTGGCTTATCAAGCCTGAAAACCAAATTTAAAGCAACAAGTACACTGGACTAGTGCTATTAGAAGTAACCTCAACTTTCATAAAAGTTTTTAGGTTAGGTGGTAGTATCATACCCAGCTCTAGTGTTCAGTAAACCAATGTTCTGTGGATGTAATTTTGGATCAACCAAAATTTTTGGTCTTTTGTTATGCCTTACTGCTAGCGCGATAGCTTCTGCACAAGCTGTACTTTCGTCCAGTAATGATGC